CGACGAAACGCATGTTTCTGAAGCTCTGTATTATGTTTGAAGAAATAATGATAAGAAAATTGAGTGTCTTACAACTTAGGGGAGCAGGTTATCATAACTTCTTAGGTGAGGAAATAAGAACTGATGAAAAATAAAACCCAGCGGTTTCAATTTCCGGTTGTGTTTCATATCTTCGTTAATTGTTAAACAAAAGTGACTGAATCTTCTTAAGTTACGTTTATTTAATTATTATTTAATTCTTTATCTCTTACTATTGGAAACCCCGGCTTCGGTGGCTTGGACATTTGCTGCGAATGTCATCCCAGAGGCTTCCGTACAGGCCTCTGTTCGCTAGCCCTGGGACGGGATGGGAAAGGCGGAGAGATGGTCAGTCCATGACGTGGCGTCATGGGATGAAGGATATTTGTGCTAGATTATCATCGGTTGGTGCGTCACGTCTCCCTGGTTGGAGTCCGAGAGCTGGCTTGAATCGATGGCCTGAAACGTTATTGGATATGGCCAAGAATCGTAATCAGTGGCGAACGTGCTGCGGTTTCCTTCTTTCTTCCCTTCCTGATGATAGTTGACGAATACTGTTTGAACTTGTTAAATGTGACTGTTTTTCCGATCAGATGAAGTTCTTCATCCGTTTTCTACTTACATTTTTACTTTTAATCTATGTTGTTTTATCCTTATTGTGTGGCGCATCGTCTTGGTGCCATATTGTACCAAGTTTTTCTGCGTTTAAATCAAATCATCTCTTACTATTATTATAAATATTGATCCACGGTATTTAAATTCCAGCTAACGAGGACCAAGTTCAAACATCTCCGCGTCTACTTCAACGTAGACCAAGCAGGAGCTTATTACTTTTGAAATCGGTGTGGAGAACTACAGCATTTAGAGTAACGAACTAATGTCAAATCAGTGATTCTTTATGGTTTAGAAACTTGGAAAGTATTTCCAATAGGCTGTTGCAAACTTCCATCAACGGCTGCCTCCACTCTCGATACTGAATATGAAAATGGCCAATCAGAAAAATGAGGAAACAGTAGGAGCCTATTTACTGCTCAACATATACATTGAGGAGACCGTTGGATGACAAGATACACACACCAGGTCTTCCAAAAGAAACTCAATGCGAAGCGATGAGTCAGCTGTCCAAGAATGAAATGGAGGAGATCATATGAATAAAAAATAAAAGCTTTCAGGCAGTCTTAGAGCCAGGTGAAAGTGATGTTAGAGAACCGAATGCAATGCAGGTGTGTCACTGAGACTCCCCCCCCCAATGTTTCACTTGGAATGCAAGGAACAAATAATAATAATAATAACAATAGTAATAAAAGCATCCTTCCACGGTGTAAACAACTTTCAGAACGCTATCAGTAATGTCAAGTATACGATTTTATTATTCTTAATTTTAGTTGGTCTCTTCACAAACGTAACTGTGTATATGTGTGTTGTTACTCAACAATCAGTTGAATTTCCCTACAACGCCTATTGTCCAGGTTTTTTTCCTTCACGTTCCCCAGTGGAACATAGGGCTTCAAGCTAGTGGCTTGAAGTTTCTGTAGCAGTGTTTATTTTACAGGATGGGGCTGCTAGCCTCATACCCAACTTTACTCTTCACCAGCATTATTTCTGGCGTAGCGAGGTAAAGGAGTGCGTCGGTCGGGGATCGAACCCCGGACCATGTGCGGGTCGGCGAGCGTCCTAACCGATCGGTGACCATACCGCATTGAAAGCACCGGTTCCGTCCAGGAGGTTAATGTTACTTAATTACCTGTCGAAATCTAAGTTAGCAGAGCACTGTTAAAGCTCATGGATCCAGTAATTTGAAGTTCAGTGCTTAAACTAAATGATGAGAGTCAAAGCTCCACAAACATTATGACTCATTAATAATTATAAATAACCTCCAATACATACAAAAAATTCAATTTATTTTTCAATGAATAAGAATATTACGTGCAGCTAAATTGAACACAATCGAGAAAATCAATTCAGAGAAGAAAAAAATAACGATGTAGTGAAAACTAGCTCTATCATCATATGGTTTATATAGTGCTTTGCATGAATACATGTATATATGTGTGTATGTTATGAACATCACGTCAATAAATTCGAAAGTCAATCCAAACCGCCTACAATATCACATAAAGAATTTCATTATCCTATTTTTAGGCTTACTTAGCAGTAATAGTACCGCCTACATTACTAATTTTAGATAAAAGTATATAAGGAAAACTTTAAAATAGATCATTTCCAACAATCACATTCACGATACCATTCATAATTCGAAAGATTTTTTTCTTTATTAACAAGAGTCATTTTAAACTAGCGGCATTAACTAACGATAATAATATGACCTTGCAACAACCAATCAGGATGTCCGACAAAACGGCAAATGAAATCACTAGTTAGTTGTTAATGTTTACAAGTGTTGGCTTGCAGGGATCCGACTAGTAACAGGTTTTATCACGAGGTGATATCAGTTAGAGAACCATAGGAGAACTAGCACGGAGTACTGAATAGCTGTTTCATCTTGGTTTGTGAGTCTTCATCAGTACGCATCCTGCTGGGTTTCGAATCCACGACATTTCGGTTACAGACCCCGTTTAACCCGTGATATTGACTGGTGGTTGCACTATATAATATGGTGAAGTGGCAGAAATTAGAATTCATGGGTCATTGGATCGGGTCTCGGTGGCTGAGTGGTCAAGGAAGATCATGGATTCAAATGCCGATGGGTGAATATTGAAGAGGAGTCTCAAACCAAGACGAAACAGCTATCCAGTATTCCCTGGTTTTCCAGTGTTTTTTTAACTGATGGCAGCTCGTGATCAAACCATTATTGTTTAATTTGAGAGAAATAAGTTCTGTGTCTGTGGAAATACTATTGATCGATAGGAGTTTAGCGAAAGTATCGATGATTGCATATTTATAATTCGTGATACTTTAGCAGATGATCATGAAAATTCACAGGAATTTAAGAAAAGTCTAAGACCGACAGGATTAATTCTTCCTCAACTTAGCGGTCAACTAAAAGTGCACAAACCCAGTCTACTAATTTAATCAATTCCCGATATGTTAGAGCCACCCTCCCATCAAATTGCTAAGTGGACTTCTCGAAAGTTTACAGACTGTAAGGAGACAATTATGTAAGTACTCTCTTGGAGAGACTTTGAATTCAGTGATTGCATAAAAGATTTGGATGTAACTTAGACGTAGAGTCTGTATGTACCAAAGTGACGCTCATAAAAACAGTCAGTTCCCTGTGCAAATATATGGATGACAACCGCTTAAGTACTGGGATACCAACCTCATATAAGAGTTGTTAATGAGATGTACATTCAATGTACAATTTATCTTCAACAACGATATCTATAAACAAAAAGAGGGAATTGCCATGGTTTGCTTTTAGCGAACCGCTTCACACATCTGGTTCAGAAAATGAAATCTTACAAACAACAGTCGACAGATTACTGAAGTATAAGAGGTGCGTCGACGACACTTTTATGATTTGTAATTATGATTTATATATATGTATATGTATGTATATATATGTATATATATATATATATAGTTCACCTAGGTATATATTTATAAAATAAACGGGAATCTATCAAAGACAGTGTACTTTCGAAGTCTTTGGCATATGCATCGAGAAGCCAGAGTTGTGTTCAAACAAAGCTAGTTTAACCTCTGCATTTACCACGGATCTAATTCCGTTTGGTTCGTTTTTATTTAGTTTTCTTTTTCATTCCCTCCGTATTTTTTCTTTCATCTTCAGTGTGTTTCTGTTCATATTATGATTACGCCTGTCCTCTCAGTAGAAACTAGTTTTAGATATTACACAGGCATACTGATAATCCCGTATTACTTTGGTTTCCATGACCTCAGTGATTAATACTCATCTCTCATCAAACCTTAAAGGGCTGTTACTAATAAGGGTGCTCAAATGTTAAAAAGATGAGAAAGCGTTGAAAATAGCTGGAACATCGGGTCACATGAGAATCCCTCATCATTCATTCTTGATATTTCGAAGACTTGAGGTGACTGAAATTAATAGTCAAAGAATTTATGAATCAGTGCTGTCTTATTCTAACCTAATCCAACTTCAGATAACACCGATTACTGAAGAAAGGTAGGCACTTTGTATGCATGAATACGCTCTATAGCCTACACACAGTTAGTGAGAACTCACATAACTTCATCAGCTGACTAGCTTTACTTATGAAACACTTCACATTTAACCCCAACACCACACACATACACAAAACAATACTAAGAATAAAATTACAACAGAAAACTTTTAGCTTGCTGATATTTTAAACTTTTAACAGCTAGACAGGAGGATAAAGTGAAATGCTTCGTAGCACATGTGCCAATCAACATACACACACATGGATATCTTGTCGGTGTCAGATGACGAACGAATGACTGCCAGTCTTACCATAAATGAGAGCATGTTATTATTTCCTGAGAGACCAATTCATTACAGTTAATGCCAGCAGTTAATAGATGAAATCCTAGGATCTTTAGGTAACGAGATCATCCCACTGACCATTCAGGAACTGGGATGGACTCATAGTTTCAGAGTTTCTTTCAATTCACGAAACAGCGACACCACCAACTAATAAATCTATAAGCATCCTTGGTTTTAATGATTCGTGATGAAATCGACATTGAAATGAAGCCAAATGCTTAAAAAATCAAAAACCTCAATTCATTTAATTGTTAGGAAATACGTTATTGGGCATAAAAGTCTTGAGATAGACAGTGAAACTGTCACCGATTGTTAATATCATGAGATCACACAGTAGTTTGAAGTACACATTCACATCTACACATACACATACACACACATGAGAACCTATCAGTACACATTTGCCTAACTAGAAAAAAATGTGTTGTAGATAGTGAACAATATTGCTTGAAGAAAAAAAATTAATAAACAATCAATCAAAGTGAAAGTAGCCAAAATATAATCAATACAACAAATAGAAAAAATGAATACTTACCTTTGAGTTTAACACAAACTTGACTAGCTGATTTTTTAATATTTTCATTAAGTTCCTCTAATTGTGCTTTAGTTTCTGTTTAGAAGGAGAAAGATAATAAAGAAAGAATATCAGACAATTTGATAAGGACTGACATATTGATTCACTGATCATTAAGATTTTACGATCAAAGGATAGGTTTGAACATTGAATGTTGTAAAAAATAAACTGTGAATAGCTCAGTGAAAACAATTTTTTCAAAAGGTTACAAGTTACTTTAAACTCAACTATTTCTTATTCATTCTTTTGCGTCCAGAGTGGACACACAGGGCTTCGACCTTGACCCTTGACGTTTCAGTAGCACTGGTGTTACTTTTACGCAGTAAGGTTACTAGACTCATACCCAACCTTTCCTCTTTACGGGGCCTACTATCGGTTAATCTAGGTTTAGGACAATGTCGGCTGGCAATCGAATCCGGAGCTCGTGCATGGTTGGCGAGAATCCTACCATTGCGCCACCGACGTAAACTCAGCTATTTAGGACAAACTTTTTAATATAACAGGATATGAGATATACTCATTCATAATCATGCTGAAGTAGGTAAAGCAGAATTCAAACCCAGTCGAATGTTTTCAAGTCAATAAGCCACATCTTCACACGCACACACTCAGAAACACCTTGTTTGTGTTCATTAAATCGGAGAAAAATTCCGAAAATAATCAAGTTGCCAACAAGATGTCATCAATCATCGATGGAACAAAGTAGGCAATCAATCTCTAAACAAGAATGTTAAGTCTAAGTAAGATGAAAGTGCTCTCAGATAGAGTTGAACTACATTCAACATAGCTGGATGACCAATTAGAAACATCTACATTCCAGCTAAGTACCACATAACACAAACATAACCATTACATTTTTATCATGCATAGTATTCTTAAATGTTGATTAATCCCATAGTACGTAAAAGTAGATTAATGAATGGTTGCGTGTAGGGCCAATGAAAAATGAAATGAGGAACAGAATGAAACTGATCATGTAACGAAAGAAAATTAACTATTGAAGTAATCTTTAAAACTAAATACTACTTTCAACTATGTTTACTGAGTTAGACAAATTTGTGTAGTACTTTCACCTATGATATAGTTGAGTGATTTGAAATATGAACAACACCAATTCACACCAAACTTCACTTTCAATAAAAATGAAACAACAGTAAAAACAGCTAAACTGATTTCTTTCTTTTATTGTCATAACGTAATCAAAACGATGTCGTCTAGAAAGACAACAGAATAATCATATTATATATAAAAGTGAATGTCGGCAGCTAGTTTTATTCAAAATGTCTCTCTGACTGTATACATAAAACAAAAACACCATGTTTTACTGTATCAATTAGCGTGAATTAAAAAAAAAACAATTAATTCATAATATCATAGGTAATCACATCTCTCATCCATCTTCTCAACGTAATATTTATTTTACTGTCACATCCAGACAAAACAAAGGTTGATATGCTTCACTCATAATGCTTCTAACCACTTGAGCTACACGAACAAATAAGAGATTGGCGTCAGTGGCACAGCGTCAAAATGCTCTCCAACCACATATGCGGTCCGGGGTTCGGTTCCCCAGCCACCGACATACTCCCTTACCTCGCTAAACCAGTAATAAGACTGGTAAGGAGGGAAGGTTGGGCATGAGGCTAGCAACCCTATCCCGTAAAAATAAACACCACTGTTACCGAAATTTCAAGCCTCTAGCTTGAAGCCCCATGTTCCACTGGGGACCTTAATATTGTAATTGTGAAATATCATCCTTCCTTTAACGATACAGAAAAAAATACAAAATAATAAAATAGTAGTACTGGAATGCTTCACTTATGCACACTACTAATAATATTGAAAACTTATAATTACTTGGATTTTGTTGGAGTGCTGATAGAATTTCACCATGTTTAGTTTTAACCTGACCGATTTCTATCCGAATCTTTTCAATCTCTCTTCGAATCCACTCGATCTAAAGACAGAATTGTTATTTAATGGTTACAAAACCAAAAATAAGTAGCATACTTCAGTGAAGAAACTGTCTATCTGAGAACTACTTTCTACTATAACGGGTTCTTCTGTTTCAGGTGGAAGATTTGGCAGTTCATTATTCTACGCATAGAAATATCTAGGTTGAGGTGTAAGAAGCTTTTTTACCTGCCGCAATACTGCGAATAAATCTTTGGCCATTGTTCAAAATATATGCACTAATTAACTTGTTAACTTGTATAATAAAGATTTGATTTTTTGATTTGAATGGTCCCAACCAATCATAGAAATGGAAGCTGTAAATGAAGAATAAAAATTTTTAGATTTGTACTATATGATACAAGCAAGAACAGAAATTCAATTCAAAATATGGACATTGAGTTGAAATCCAGCTGAAATAATCCATCATGAATTTCTTTAAACTGTGGACAGGACTAAGTCCTTACATTTAGCGAAGTTACAGTTAGTAGATGTAAGTAGTCTGTCGTTAATGATTGCATAACTTTTTTAAAAACCGTACCTCCTTCTTTACACTAATTATTCTGGTAGCTCACTGCATAGATTTGACTGGAAATACATTTTGTTGGTAAAAACTCGAAATATGAGCACCAAGAAATTAATTACAGTGAAAAAATGATAAGTATAATAACGAGAGAGGGTGCAAAAGGAAAGAATAACAAATAAATAAGTAAAAATGCTTGAAAGGTTGCATCCCTGATATCTTATAGTCACATGGATGTGAAAGTGGACTCTAGATTTCACCCAACAGCAAACTATCAACCCTCATACTCCTTCTTAGACTAATTACCAAATGCACAAAACTTTCCAGCTATTCCCAATGGATCATTAACGTGACAGAATACAAGCACAAACTTCTTTCAATCTCTAAAAGGTACTTACCCTTCCAATGTATTAAGTCATACACGATACCTACATATAGTAATATGTAAATGGCTAGAAGTGGATTGCACAGTCTGCACCTCAAACAACAATAATAATATCATCAGTTTGCCCAAGCTTCACACAGCTAAGATGTGCTTTCTTCACAGCTCTTTTTAAACTACCTAAGGTGGTTGACTAACTGACTGAGTTTTGAAATAGCTCTTTGCACAAAGGTGAAATAACTCAAGTTATCACACAAAGAGAGAAAACGGGAATTCAAACGAGCTATAATGAGCGGAAATGTATAGCAGAAGGAACAGTGCCATGGGAAAAGATTACAAAGAGTGAATGTCAATCAACATTGTTTCACGAGGAAGACGGTGGCTCCACATGTGCAAACGATGCACATCCACAACCTCATCGATTTACTTTCTCTCCTTACCTAACACCACTCCTAACCTCAATAATAATTACTACCTCATTCCACTTAACATTGGAGATAGAAAGAAACACCTATGGTCAAAGACAGCTAGTCTTTTCATATCTTCTACTTTCAACAGACATATCTAATAGCAATAAATGTGCACAGTACACACATCTTTTGGTAGATAACCGGATATCACATCTACGCCAGGCATGACGTAGGTTGGCAAATGCCAAGCCAGCCTTTTGTGACTGTGCTGAGTTTTCATCAGTAATCAGTCCGTTAGGGTTAATGCAATTTCTTAAATAAATGAAGTGGTCAACACACAGCTGTTTCACTCCCTGTTTATAAACTAGGAGTCGGTGCAGACAAATTCTGAAGCGCCATCTTACATTTGACAAGGATGGATCGCATACCGTATATAAGAAAATTTCTGCTTAAAGGGGTGAGAGGATTGAGCTTTGTCAGTTCAAACGAAGCAGAAAAAATTCACTGACATTAACTAACCTTTACTTGTAAGATATCAGCAGCCTTTACCAATGTTTCTATAGCTAGCTGGATATTATGCCAAGCTTAATCGGAATATCTTGCTGTCAGTCACGAATAGCTATTTCTTCCCTAAATAAAGGCTTCGTGTTCTCACCAATTTAGGGGGGTGTATCCGCTTCAGAGCTATGTCGTTTTAGTCGTAGGCACATACGTGCACGGAACAGAGCATGATAGGAGTCTAAGAGAGAATACTAATCTTGTTTAGCCCCACTTGATTTGAAACAGAAGACACATTGGCTGTTGTGTCTTTTGGGTTTCTCTCTATAATTGAATCCTAGACATGAAAACACTTAACATATGTACACATTCTAAAATTTATTTGCTGCAACTAATATCCTACCCAAGCGTCTCAACAACTAGATAACAGCTTGTTATAACACTTTGCCACTTTATTAGACATCATCCAGAAGACCAATAAGTTAACAGATGAAACAGACTAATTCTATAGGTTGACCTCATACTCTAGTGTCACCACCCATAACTGTATTTCAAGCATAATGAGGTGCACGATGAGTAGGCACATTTCACTGAAGCCAACGAAATAATCTAAGATTGTAAAACAAGCAACAAATTGTTATGAAACAAGATTTAATGAATCCATCAATTCTCAGTTGAACTCCAGCTGAATACTTTGCATGTAATGATGTATGTACTATCCTGTGTCAGACAGCATTAATCCATGAAGTCGCAAGCTGCTGGTATGAGCCATGCGATAATGTAGTTAACCTGCGTAGTGTCGATGTTATCACACTAACCCATGATCAGAGACTTTAAATCATATGACCAAATAGTCACAGTGATGTGCATTCACATCTATGACTGATTGTGTTAATTTGAGTACTTCTCTTGTTAGTAATCACTTCAGTGTGGGTATGAAGGGTCATAATTTTAACCTATAGACCCTATGGTTCTGATCAGTGTCTGCTTTACCATTTTTCTCACCTACAGCTAAGAAGTGTGTATCAACTCGCATGGTCAAAAAAGGTTTCTGTTGTTTGTCCGCACAATTGTCCGATTGGGATTCTAATACCGCTCATTAGCTTTAACACTAGAGGTCAGTGTGTTTCAATCACCTTGGAACTGCTTCAGCCTCAGTGGCTGGATATTATCAGAGGGAAAATCAGTATGGATTACAGTATGTATCCCGACAAACCTATCTTTATATGCACATCGCAGGCTTACAAAATCCAAGGAGAAATCATATTGCTGTTGAGTAGAGGTTCTCACACCGAGTCATAAACTCTTGGAAATGACTTCCAGGAGAAGTGGTGTTTGCAACCTCACCTGACTCATTCAAGAAGGGTTTGGCCAACCACAAAAATTTACTTGAAAAGGATTAACATAGGCTGCAAGCCTTCTATCCTCAAAATATAAATCTGAATGTTGGACCAAACAGAAAGGAGCAAATTGAGACATTTGCTAGGGAAAATTATATCATGATGAGGACTGGATAAATCCACAAAATCACGATCGATTTTCGGCCGGACCACTTAACTCATAATCACTGACCTTCGGGCATACTATAATTTGAATTTGCAAATGACACCTATTAGTAATCGCTCAGCGAAGCTGTGCAATTATTGCAGGTGCATATCGTTTTTAGTCACCTAAAAGTCGTTTTCGTTATAAAAAAGTCAAAGTTTGGACTTTCAGCTCGGGTTTCTGCATTTTCTTCCTTCCAAAAAGTTTTTAAAAGTGAAAACCAACAGTGCCACCTCAGATTTAACCACAATTTCAGTGAATTATCACGAAAGAATACAACATAAAATAACATGCAACTATCAAAACTACAAAAACAAATAAATGAGAAGGAGAAGATACCATAAAAAAGTTCGTGTGCGCCAAACTGACCTAGAGGATTCGAAACTGCCGCTAAGATTTAATGCATTCAATGTACTATACACTAGCTGGAACAAACCAAAGTGCATTTTTACTCCTACTATTTGGTTTCCACAGAATGGCTCCAGCCATTCAACCATCATAACTTTGTTAGGATATGAAGATAATGAGAGGTTCCAATATCAAATATCCAGTATCGTTTTTACGAGCTACTGTGGATCAATTTGATTTCTTTGTACTCACTTCTTGGTTGTGAGGTAGAGGTTCCTGAACTTTGGTGAACTTTTGCGTAGTTCGTTCTGCCACTTGACTGTCGTAGCTTTGGATGACACCGAGGGTAATGGTGCTGAGATTAATAATATGCAGTTTATAGCATGCGATCTGTTAAGACCGTTTCGCTTCTCTGAATGCAATTGATCCTTTTATCCGTTAGTCGTCCGTTGTGGTCGAAAAATAGTTAACAGTATTAATAACGGTCATAATTGGTGTGGATTGTATAGTCTTAAAGAGAAAAAGAAAGGAAGAGGACGTTAAAACAGACAGCTAATAATATTTGAAATTGATAAATACGTTTAGTAATAATAATAATAATAATAGCATATTCTCATTTTTTACATGAGGGACGCCAGTTTACAGGCATCATCAATTCGATAAATTACACATACGATTAGTAATTACAGTTAGTAATGATAATATAATAAGGTACATATTTATTCATTCAAATATAGGACACACAAGTTGTATGGGAATGGATAAGAATTATTTAAGTTAAATATTTAAATTACATGATTTACGGTTCAATAACATGGTTGTTGTCATTTTATCTTTAGTTTGTGGGGAAAATCGGACAACTAGTGATTCAATGGAACACACCAAGAAATATAGAGATATTGACTTCGCATTAACAAAAAAAACCCAAGTATGCGTTGGATGGATTACATATACTTGGGAAAATAAATAAAGCTTGAAGTCAATTCCCTCATAATACAATAAAATGCGTCTTACAATAATATATTCCCACTTTATGCACATGAGGGACTCCAGTTGACAGGCATCAACAATATGATAATAATGCACACATGGAGTAAAAATGTTTAAAATTTTTCACTAACACAAAATATATATACAAGGGAGGATAATGAAATATTGACCGTAAGTACACTCTGCATAAGTTAAAACAGTTTATATGGCATAATCCTAGGCACAATTATTGTTTGAATTTGTTGAACATGAGCGAAACAACTGAGTGTTGCGTTACATTCGGTCGATATGGTGGGCTAGTCACAAGATTTCAGATTTAGATTTCAGATTTATTGTTTGAGGATAGAAGGCTTGGAGCCTATGTTAATCCTTTTCTAGTAAACTTCTGTGGTTGTCCGAACCCTTCTTGAACGAATCAACTGAGGTTGCAGACACCACTTCTTCTGGGAGTCGGTTCCAAGAGTTTATGACTCTGTGTGAGAACCAGTACTCAACAGCAATATGATTTCTTCTTGGCTTTTGAACTCTCCTGCTATGTCCTCTAAGGTGTTCCGACCTGGTGGGAAGGAAAAGAGAAAATAGGTCAGGTCCGTAGTCATTATTTAAAATTTTAAACATTGTGATTAAATCTCCTCTCTGCCTACGGTATGACAAGGAGAAGAGATTTAAACTGTCTAGTCTTTCCTCGTATGATAAGTTAGTCATGCCATGAATCATACGTGTTGCTTTCCGTTGAACCCTTTCTAGAATAAGTGAGTCCCCTTTTAGACAAGGGCTGGCGGCCTGGATGCAGTTTTCCAGTCTTGACCTCACCAGAGATGTATATAAGGAGGTGAACATATCTCTGGTGATTCTAGTGAAGGCTCTACGAATTGCCCATAATGACCTGAAACTACGTGCAGCCACCGCGCGACAGTGTGCTGTAGTTTTTAAGTCGTGGCTAACTATGACACCTAAGTCCAAGTAAGTCTGAACTGATGGAAGTGTAATTCCCTCTAGTTCATAAGAGCTCGTGCTTGCTTGTCCAATGCGCATGGTTGCACATTTTGTCACGTTTATCGGGAGCATCCATTCTATGGACCACTCTGACAATTTGTTGAGGTCCTCTTGCAACGTGGACGTGTCACTGTTGCCCTTCAGCTCTCTCCAAATTTTTAAGTCATCTGCGTATAGGACCATAGGGGAATCGGTGAGTAGAGATAACTCATTGATATACAAAATAAATAGGAGAGGTCCAAGTACCGTGCCTTGTGGCACTCCGCTGCGTACTGCTGTCCAAGAGGAGAGTTTCGAGTTGATCCTAACCCTTTGCCTCCTATCTATGAGGAATTCCCTGAGCCAGTTTAGTAAGCTGCCTTTGATACCAAGACTTTCCAACTTCATGAGTAGTCTTTTGTGAGGTACTTTATCAAAGGCTTTGCTGAAGTCTATGAAGACGACGTCAACGGGTCTTCTGTTGTCCCTGGATTTAACCCAGCTTTCTCTTGCAGTGAGAAGATTTGACAGGCATGAGAGGTTCCTTCGGAAGCCATGCTGTGCTCTTGATAATAAGCTTCTGTTTTCTAGATATGCCATTATGCTTTTCTTGATGATTCTCTCCAGTGTCTTAATTAAAGTGCTGGTGAGACTGATAGGCCTGTAATTAGAAGGGCTTTGTCTTGATCCTCCTTTGTGGATGGGGGTTACTATGGCGTCTTTCCAGTCACGCGGTAACACTCCATTTTGGAGAGAAAGCTTGAAGATCATAGTCAAAGGGCCGGCTATGTGTGCTGATAACTCCTTGAGAAGCCTTGGGTGAAGATTATCAGGACCCATTGATTTCCCTGCATCTAGTTTCCTCAACCAGTTGAGCACGATGCCTTGGTCGATGTCAACGGAATCTATCCCATGTTCTTCTGATGCAGCCAGAGCTGATCCTATAGGCTGTGACGACTCCTGAGTGAAGACTTGGGAGAAGTAGTTTGCCATTGCTTCTGCTTTTTCTTGATCTTCTTCGATTGTGTCATTGTCGATAGTCAGGTTTGGGACACCATTGGATGTTTTATTCCTGAAATTCATGTACGAGAAAATTTTCTTAGGTTGTGCCTTTGCATTTTGAGCCAGGTGTGCTTCGAATTTCATCCTTGATTTGCGGATTTCTGCAATAGCTTTATTTCTAGCAGTGTTGTATAATTGCCTGGTCTCAGAAGTCTCAAGTGTGGCAAACAAGTTCCAACATTTGTGTTTACGTCTAAGTAACTTACGAATCTCTCGGTTTATCCAAGGAGGGCAGTGTTTCCGACCCTTTGGGACAGACCAAGGGATGAAAGGTTCAGTTACTTGGGCGTAAAGTTGTTTAAATTGGTTCCATGCGGCTTCTACTTGAGACTCTGGGTTGACGTACCAGTTTACTGAGTTGGCTGCTGAGACGATTGCATTTATATCAGCTTTCCAAACGTTTGGTCGAGATGGGGTTTTGGCCCTTGCTGCCGTTGCTGTGAACTTGAAAGTGAGCACAGCATGGTCACTTCTTCCTAAAGGAGGAAGATGTTGTATGAGATCCACATCCTCACCATGGGAGAACACTAGGTCCAGAGTTGAGGAGGAGTGCTGTGAGTCATAGCGCGTGGGCTTGATGATATGTTGGACTAGAGCTAACGATATACTAGATTCCAGCAGTTTATAGTCAAAGGAGTTGACTGAGGATGGAGTTGTTAGGCTCGTCCAGTCAACTGTTGGGGCATTGAAGTCGCCAACTACGAGACTTCGACATTTCGAGGTCCAGGAGCCTAGCTTCTCTATCAGGAAGTCATCTGCACTGCAGTTAGGACTGCGGTACATAGCAATGAGGTCAATGTCTTGGCCTATGCATTTAAGTCTGCAGCGTAGAAGTTCGCACGACTCACTTTCGTGAGCGAGTGCTTCGATACTACGCACGGTTAAGCAATTCTTGAGGTAAATGACTACGCCACCTCCTTTGCGGTTTAGTCGGTCTACCCTATGCACTTCGAAGTTTGGCAGGTTAACTTCGCTGTCAGTGACATCGGGTGTGAGCCATGTCTCTGTGACAATAATTACATCCGGGTTTCCGGAGTCTATCATGTTAACCAGCTCAGTCCGTTTATTTAACAGGCTGCGGGCGTTTGTGTAGCAAACTGTTAATCCAGTTTGGTGCTTCCCCGGCCTACCCACAGAGGTTTCGGGATCATTAAACTGCGAACTTGAACAACCCGAAAACCCTTAATCTTAAGGTTCTTTTCGCCGTTTCGGCGTCGTTCGCTTAATTCTAGGGCCGCAGACTGTCTTTTGATACGGTCTGCCAGGCTTAAGTCGGCGCGGACATATATGCCTGATCCTTTAAGTATATGAGAGTTGCTTAGAATAGCATCCCTCTCTTCCTTAGAGTTTAGTACGACTTTGAGGAGACGTACAGGCTGACTTACTGTAGGGTCAGGCTTTTGGCCTATTCTATATACACTGTGTATAGTGACGCCTGATACTGTTTGTGGCAGTAGCTTGTCTAAAAGGGGCTTAACCAAGTTAAGGTCATGCTCAAATCTAGTCTTGGGTTCGGGGGCCAGTGACTCTTCCACTTTGTGGAGAATGAGCGACCTGTCAGAGAGATCAGGTTTGCTTGCCGTGGTTGTCTTGCTCTGCGGCGTGAATGTCTTCCTTTCCTTCGTGGGCAGTGTGGCCAATGTATTGTCCTTGTCTCGCTTTTTGCGAGAGACTACGTTACGCCATTCATTGGCGTTCTCTTCACTAGTCGTAGCAGGATTTATCTGCCTGCTACTCACCGGTGTGGACGAGGCTTGATCCACTAGTACCTGGGTGACTTGAGTTGCAGGTTTACGACCCCTGGTACGCCTCTTCTTTGTGGCAGTCTTTCCGTTACTGTCACTGGAGGGCTTATCCAGTATCGTGGGGGCAGCCTGGGTGACTGGAATGTGGTGAGTGCTCTTCTGTGCTGAAGGGCACTCAGTCATTGACAAAGACTCATTAGGAACATGTACTGTTCTGTCGATGACGCTAGTCGCATCTTCGGTGTCTGAGAAGCAGTTAGTCTTCTCCTGTGATGGATGACCCTCGCAGTCCATGA